ACTTTTTATTTTATAATACCGATTTTACACATGTTAAAGCAGTATTTTTTAAGAATAAATCTACATCCGATTTTTTGAAGCTTGACACAAAACACTAAAATAATAGTTAATAATAGTTCAAGAAAACAATTCCAAAAAAAAAGAAAGAAAAAAAAACACTTCAAACATGCTTTAAATATGTATAAAATCGGGTATTTGAATATAAAATAAACATTTTTTCTTAATTGAAAGATTCAATTTAAGCTAAAATTGATAACAGATTTCTTCATACCTTGAAGAAACTGTACAAAAATTGAGAAAAATCAACGTCTGATGTTCTTTGAAATTTATTTATTAGCAAATGAATATTTCAGAAACAAATACCGCGTCTTCCACAAAGAAAATAATTTAATAAATACCAGTCAATTGGCATTTACTACATTATTTTTCTTCTTTTTTAACAAGAAATCCCATTTCAATAAAAATTCTTACAGAAGAGAACACGCGAAGCATTCGAAAGAAGGCCAAGTTCCAAAAGATGTATGCAACTAGAATCTCTTTTCTGTTTTAGGAAGAAAATATTGCGAATATGGCAAACGCGCAGATGATGATGACTTAGAAAAAAATAAAAAAAAAATCGGTAGACGAAAATTAATTCTTCGAAAATTGCAGAAAGCCAAAGTGTTGATGAAGATGATTATTCTATTTGATCGCTGATGATGGTGAGGCATCATGAAAGAGAAATAATGTCAGATCGTAATCACCTGTTTCGAGGATCAGCGGACGTTTCCGTAGTCTTACGTTTACCTTCAGTCATCGTCTTCATTCAGCCATCGCCGGAAAGCCGGCTACCGGCAGCTCTGTCATGTTACCTTTCAAACTCTTCCACTCGCATTTTACAGTTTTACAATTATAAATGTATCGCCCTAAATCCATCGCTTTTAATTAAACGCGATCTGCTCCTTAACAAAGTCGATAAAGTGAACAAAGTCGTAAAAGAATTAGAAGCTTTATACACGCAAATCTCGAGAACTTTGCTACGAATTATATCAGATTATGCAGGACAAATTAAATATTTTTTCATGTTCGAGGACATATATTGTATTAAAATTAGAGATGCACCGGGAAGGATTATCAGATATCCGGTGCATCTCTAATTAAAACATTGATTTTTGTAATAATTTTGGACTAGTCGAATAACCTAGGCCTGTATTCCGTACACGCCAACCGACAATTGCTGGTGTCGTCATGTGTCGTTTTTGTACCATGTAAAATATTTTCGCAACGACATATAACGACACCAACAACTGTCGGCAGGTGTGTACAGAATACAGGCCCTGGCTGTCTCAGAATTGGTGCGAAAAAAATACTACCGATCTTATCGTTCTTCACAAGGCAAAAACAAGAGTTGAGATCTCAGTTTCAATTTAATTCTGTTAAAGAACAATCTACTTGAAATCTAACAATTGATGATTTCATTCATTCTTATCTCTGAAACTTAAGGATGTTTTCCAGAGACAAAGATGAATATAATACATAAATCATCACAGCCTTATTGTCGGTCAATGTTGAATAAAGATGAAATAATGACTGTTATAATTACTCTCTTTCTGGAAAGAGGAATCATTAAACTGCGAAATATGATTTATTTTTATTAACTTATAGAAACTAATCATAATTTCATTATAGTCTAAAATTATTAGCACATAAGTGACTGAGGAATGTAAATTTTGCAAGCATATCCGTCTTCTACCAATTCTGGGACAAGCCAGCAGATGTGTAATTTTACATCGCTGATTCGCATTTAAAGGAATCTATGGTACCCCACGATGCTTGGGTCTTTTATTCTCGGCATAATTTAACATACACTACAATCAACGGAGAACGTTACGGAGAGCATTGAGTATTCTCGCATCAATTCGGCGAACTCGGAAAACGCTTTACAATTTCACGGCAAAACCGTCGGCACGAATTGGGAAACGTAATGCCACGATCATCTAATATTTCACATCTACAAGATTTTCGCGCAGCATATTGCTGTGGACAGGAGGACGCTTTTCTCTTTTGCTCGACAGGATTTTGGTGACGCGCAAAAATCATGAGATCATTCTCATACACGTAAAAAATCCACGATAATCTCGATTCACATTCGTTTGTATATCTCGAAGTATCTCAAAAGTGTAAAAGAATGCCGGAATCACGGTCTCCCCACCGCGCTCTCTTCCACGACGCGGCTCGAATTCCCCCTAACAGCCGCGAAATCGACGGATCAAAATCAACATTCTCACACGACAACGTTTCACGACACACGTCTCGGATTCGTCACGCAGCCTCATCTCATTTCCTCTCTCTCCCTCTCTCAGGACACAACAATATCGAGCGATTTACAGAGCACAGCTAACTCTACAATAAAATTCGTTTACATTTTGTGAGCGATATTAAAATTGCTTTATATCAATCCGTATTTACATATTTCGTAGATCACTTCCAAATCGTTTTGCAAGGCATCCTTTGAGCAGTGAGCACTCTCATCCGCGAAAAAAATTCACTGATTCAGAGACGAAAAGATGCCAATAGTGTCATAGGCATCGCTATTTCAAACGATTTGAAATACGTAGTCTGACAATT